GTCTATCTATCTATCTATCTATCTATCTATCTATCTATCTATCTGTCTGTCTGTCTGTCTGTCTGTCTGTCTGTCTGTCTGTCTGTCTGTCTGTCTGTCTGTCTGTCTGTCTGTCTGTCTGTCTATCTATCTATCTATCAATCTATCTATCTATGCCTGTCTGTCTGTCTGTCTATCTATCTATCTCTGTCTGCTTGTCTGTCTGTCTATCTGTCTCTCTGTCTGTCTGTCTGTCTGTCTATCTATCTATCTATCTATCTATCTATCTATCTATCTATCTATCTATCTATCTATCTATCTATCTATCTATCTATCTATCTATCTATCTATCTATCTATCTATCTATCTATCTATCTATCTATCTATCTATCTATCTATCTATCTATCTATCTATCTATCTATCTATCTATCTATCTATCTATCTATCTATCTATCTATCTATCTATCTATCTATCTATCTATCTATCTATCTATCTATCTATCTATCTATCTATCTATCTATCTATCTATCTATCTATCTATCTATCTATCTATCTATCTATCTATCTATCTATCTATCTATCTATCTATCTATCTATCTATCTATCTATCTATCTATCTATCTATCTATCTATCTATCTATCTATCTATCTATCTATCTATCTATCTATCTATCTATCTATCTATCTATCTATCTATCTATCTATCTATCTATCTATCTATCTATCTATCTATCTATCTATCTATCTATCTATCTATCTATCTATCTATCTATCTATCTATCTATCTATCTATCTATCTATCTATCTATCTATCTATCTATCTATCTGTCTGTCTGTCTGTCTGTCTATCTATCTATCTCTGTCTGTCTCTGTCTGTTTGTCTTCTACTTAGGCAAGCCTTAAAGAGTAGTTTGTTTAAAGGAACTCAGAGTAGTGAGCAGTGTGGGCTGCACTCAGGGTTCATGAGCACTACCTGAACGTTTTGCCACAAGGCTGGAGAAACAGAAGGGATGAGAATCTCCTACTGAAAGACAACAGCCACAGCCACACAGGCGAGAATAAGTTTCCTTCTCATTAGACATTTTGCTGGCATGAAATCACAAGCCTTTCAATGTTTACTCAGTTGACAGTGAGTGTGGTTGGATCTTTTTGTACATCAGTCACTTGTACATTCACATGCTGTTGTCCACGCAAACAGAAGAATCAGACTGCACATCAATGCCATGCTGACGCACAGTCATTGTGTCATTTGTACTTCCGCCTATAGAGAAATACCTAGCAGAAATTGAACAAGAACCAGAGCGGCAAAGGGAAGAGAACCAAAGCCGCATCAGAACTCTTCTGTTCTAGAGGCTGGTGGCAGATGGGTACAGGAGGAAGTACAGAGAGGGAACTCTGTGACCTCCTTTATACTGTCAATAACTGCAGATCAATGCCAGAGAATGTGTGGTTCCATCTATCTGAGGATCTGACAGTATCCTTGATTTTAATGAAAGCACATGTACAAACTGCATCCATAAGCTCAGATGTTATGGAATGTTACTGTTCAAAGCAATTTCCTGTATACAGTCTATACTTATACCTGTGTGTAGTGAATGTATTGGTTAACTCATCACAATGAACTAATAACTGCAGGATTTTCCAGAGATACACACACTGCTAGAAAGCATATAAACACCCTTGGCTGTGCTATATGTGTAAATGAAGGGCAGACACGCATGTGTAGTAGAGACTTTAATCAAGTGTTTCACCCTGAAGTGGAAATGTGGCTTCACTAGTTTTCAGTTTGTTCATGGCCAGAGGTTCAAATGTTCACCTGAATATGAACTTTTCATGGAACACCTATACACTTTGTTTTTTGTTAATGTATCTTCAGTATTTTGGACTAAATGACTTTCTCTCATTGTGCATAGGTGTGTGTTTGTTTGTATATTTCAGAGCAGCACACAGGTGTCTGTTTTGCGTCTGTTGAGAATGGACGCTGTGCTCAAAAAATCAGTGGACGCTTCAGTAAAATCCAGTGCTGCTGTAACCGTGGCCACTGCTGGAGTCAGAGCACAGCTCATGAAATGTGTCCCGTACCAGGATCAGGTGATCAATACACTCCTTAAACAGTTCACACCAAGCATATTCTGCTGTTTATGTTTGTTATTATTTTATTATTTCAGGTTTATTTATTGTCAATAAACATGTGGCTAAGGCTTCAAAATGGCATTGCCTTCGAGGTGTACATTTTATTAGTAACAGTGAAGCAGTGAGACAGGAAGTCTTTTTTTTATATAAAAAAAATCTAAATACCCTCTGTGCCATACTGACAATTGCCTGTCCTGTGTGAATAAGTCTGAGCACAACTCTCGGATGACAGTACTTGTGTTCCTGGTGTAGAGTCCAAATCCAGGCTGCTTGTCTGATTGGAAGCTGGGAACCCTGCCTGGGTGAATCAAAGCATACCAGCAGTTGGTCGGACTTGGGCACATAACCTGGTCTAGGGTGAAGAACTGCTTTAACAGTACCCGGAGCAAATTCTAGGCAGAAACTTTCCTGAAACAGTATATCGGGCACACACTGAAGTGATGTGGGCCATTTCCCCCTGGAGGGACCTGCCCTCAGAGGCTTGAATGACCTGCATCAAGACAATTTTCCTGAAGCCTTCCTTGATAGAATGACGGTCTTCAGATCTGCCTTCTCCTGAGGGGGCTTCGGGTGAGACATTTATGTTTCAGGCGAGAGTGCTGTCTCATCCTCCAGACTCGTTGTTTGTGGTGAGGGTACGAGAAACAACACTCTCTTTTTGTTGTTTCCAGTGGGAGGAGCTGGGAGTTGATGGCTGGGACCTGGGTCTTAGAGGAATAAACCTCTGGAACACTGCTGCTTGTCTCATACCCTTGCTCTTTCATCCCCACAACAGAGGAGTAATTAAAGATTGTGGGGCTGGAAATAAATGACAATAATTGTCTATAATGATAGGCCCCCGATGCAGAGGTTGTGTGCTCGTCTAGCTTGCTTTTACACCACACATTCTGCTTTGCGGCCAGCCAGTCGATGTTTAACTTGACCATGGCACGAGTCCTCATAAACATAAAGGAGAGGTGGCAAATCCTCAAAATCCCCTGCCAAATCATCAGAGCTGGATAAAGCCAAGACTGTACTTCCACTCGGGGTGGAAGAAGCTGCAGAGCAGGCGTCCGACTCCTGAGGGAAAGCATTGGAGCCTGGGCCCATCTCATGCTTCTCTGCAAGCTCCTTCTCTGACCCCCATGATCTGAGCTGGCACAATGCTTCAGCAGACGTGGGACCTGAACCACAAGGGGCACAAGACTGACCAAGCTCCTCAAAGATGGCCAGGCAGGAGAGGAGTCTTCTCAGCACGCCTTGCTCCCAAGCAGACTACACACAGATCATGTGTGTCTTCACCAAGGGTGTAACTTTAGTTTGAGAAGTGGGGGGGACACAAAATGGGGGAAAATATTTTCGATTTGAATCCCATTTCCTGCATGTACATACATTTAGGGACTATGGTGATACAAAATCCAGGAAATAATTAAGTTGATTAACGATCAGTTCTGCCAAAAAGAATGGTAGGCTACTAAACTATGTATAAGAAAAAGATGTCTTACTTTCTTTATTGTTTAATAGGGGCCGATCGCCAAGACTTCAGAATCATTTTATAAAGTTGAAAATGTTCACGATTAATGTTTTGAATAATGTTTAAATAATGTGAGACTCAATTTCCACTGTTAAACAAACTTTTATTTCAAACTAACC